TTACTACTTCAGATTTGACGATTTTCCCTGTGGTTCCTGTCATAGTTATAAGGTATGGCCTCCACACTGAAAAAAATTAATAAGAATAAGTAGAAAAAAGAGTTAGGTTTTCTACCTTTCTCTTCCATCAGACATATAAAGACTCCTAAAAATATAAAAACAAGGGATCCGGTTGCTTGCCAGTCATTTTGCTTTCCAAATTTTACTAGAAAGCAAGGGAGAATTTTAAAAGTTTTGTTAATGAAGAACACAATAACCTGTTCGGGTCTTGACCCACAGCAGAGTAAACAATGAAAATACTAGACTAACAAAACAACCGTTTTATTAACTTTTCCTTTGTTCGTCCCTTGAGCACAGCATCAGGCCGATTTCCAATAGTAAATAGAATAGGATGTAAACTCATCCACGTTTCTGGTAAGTTGAAGCCAATGAGGAAAACTTGCAAGTGCAGATGGCATCCATGGAAAAAGGATTTACAGATGCAACCAACACAGGAGAAAGCCCTCCCTTACCCTTTCCCTCAGTTTGTGATCCCCAGTGTAATGTACTGAGCCCCAGCCTGGCCAACAGTCACAGACAGTATCAGTTTCTCTCTGTTCCTCTTTCTCAGGCTGACATTTTTAAGCTATGCGGTTCGGGATTCTGCGAAAGATAAGCACATGGTATAGCTCCAAGGACCTCTAGGATATTTTTTGGACACGGTATTGGACCTTGTGAATGGAAAGAACTTTTATAAAAGGATAAAAGGGCCATCAACAGCAGCAGCAGAGTCACAGTGAAATCCCAAAATGATAATGACCACTCTAGGCCAAGAAATAAAGGCTTTTTAAAGCCACTTCCCCAAAATAATTTAGGTTTAACAACCTTTGTGGGGGGTCACCTCCAAAAGCTAGCGTATAACTTCTTTTTCATTTGTAGCCAGTCGGATCATCATTCAACTCTATAGGACAGGACTTTTTGTTTTTCTGCATATGTAAGAGGCTCATATAACTCTCTCTCTCTCTCTCTCTCTCTCTCTCTCTCTCTGTCTCTTCAGAGGCCCAGAAGGAAATGACTGTGTAGAATTTTAAATCAGAAACCTAACGCTTAGGTTACTAGTGTCAGGTTAAAGGCTCGCCCATCCCCAAAGCTAATTCAGTTCTGAACAGTCCCATGGGTGTTCAGTTGAACAGAAGGAGCTAGGAAACCTTAGCAGGCCGAAGCCCAGCCTGGGGAATTGCTGGGACTCGGTGCCAGGGGCCGAGGCTCACCCCAGACTTGGTATCAGATAATACCAAGTGCTAGTCTGAACTTCCAGGACTAATCTACTCGAGGGTGGAACTTCCAGGTTCCCTGGTGTCTGTGCTGTGGAGTAGGAGGACAGTGGCCTTTGTACAGCCACACTGCGCCTGGCTGGTGTAGATTTAGTAACAGGAAAATAGATTCAACACACAGAGAAAGAATCTATTTGCAGCAATTACGTATGGGAGGTGCAGAGACAAGGCAGGGGACCTCGGATAAAGTAGAAAGTATTCCAAATTTTCTAGAGATTCTGATTTCACAAGTTTCTTTTTTCTTTGTATTCTAACTTGAACTCCTTAAATGTGTGTTTATAGGTTCTCTAGATTCTTAAAACCTTATATCAACAGTGGCTGTTCACCACTTTTGCATTTCCTCAGAAGGGCTCTTGGGTTTCAAAAGCAATTTTCCTACCTCATTCCCCCTCCAACCCTTCCCTACCCTCCAAATTACACACACATCACTCCTTCTAGGGTCAAATTTTAAATCTGCCCTTAGATAACTCCTTAAAACCCTGGGATGACTTCTTAGATCCCCAGACTAACTAAATTTTAACTTTGAAACAAAACAGTTCTCAAGGAAAAGAAAAATCCTTCTTCCACACACATAAGCAAACAATAAAGGATTTAGCCTTAGAACCAGGATTTTAGAACTACAATTATTTTCTACATTAAATACCAATTAACACTATTTACCAAAGTCAATATTTGTTACTTCTCCACAAACTGCAAGTCTCTTCAAGACTCATCGGCACTTAGCAAGCCTTGGGTTACTGTCTGAATTGCAAAATACACCATTTGCCCAGAAATGTGTCTTAGTCCCAATGCAAATTGCTTATAAAACATGTGTAAACCATGGTTTAAACAAGCAGCACACACCCACAAAAATCCATTCAATGCAAAGGTAAGTGAAAAAGCTTCTCCAATTAGCTTCCCTTTACAAACTGGAGGGACATTTACAGTATCTCCGAAGGTAATTGCTTCTTACTTCAGTACAAGTAGCTTTATGTGGCTAGAAGAGCTGATTTTTTTTTCTTTCTTTCTTTCTTTCTTTCTTTTTTTTTTTTTTTTTTTTAGTGCATAACAGTATTCAATTAGAGAACAGGGTGGGAGAGCCCACTCTTAAAATATAACTTAATCACCAGGCACCAGCGCGCAGAAGAGGTCCAAGCACACGAGCTAAAATGGAGCCTGAATTTCCTCTCAGACTGAAAGGGTAGTCGCAGGAGGTCAGGGTCAAGGTCACCAGCAGGGCAGGCTGCAGCTGCCCGGCCGCGCTGCACACAACAGAGAGAAGGCGGTCCATCTCCGTCACAGCCTAAACAGATAAATCCCTTCTCCTCTCCTACCCTGCCTCTAACCTCGCCAACATTTTTTTTTTTTTAAGCAGCAGATGAGAAGAAAGGAAAGTGACCAAATAACCTCACCGCCCTGGGCTTTCGAACACAAACTCATCAGCTCCCAAAGTTGCCATCTAAGGGCAAGTTCGCAGAGAGCACTGAAGCCCATTTTGTCCGAGCAGGGCAAGCCTCCCCCCCACCCCCCGGACCCCGCGGGGAGTCCTGGCTCCTCTCCTTCC